TTATGTTTTATGCTTTGTATTTGTGCTTTTTTTTTTTATTTTTACTTTTATTACCTTCTTTTTTTTTTGCTGATTTCTTTGCTCCTTTGTTTCTTTCTTCTTCTTCTTCTTCTTCTTCTTCTCCTACTTCTACTTCAATTTTCCACCTTTTTTTTTTTTTTTTTTTAAAAATACGCTCTAGTAAACAACAACAACAAGAAAAAAAGTCTTACGCAGTTTAACATTGCTGCTGCTTTGAAGAATGATTCAAAAATTTTAGCCAAAAAAAAAAAGAAGAAGAAAAAAATTGCAAAAAGTAATTTTTAAATTTAGAAATAAAAAGAAAAAAAAAAAGAAGAAGAAACTGTCTTATTGTAATCACAGATTTTTCAAATAACTATGCAGCAATTTTTCTTTTTTCTTTTCTTTTCTTCTATTATTCGTTAAACGAAAAAAATTGTATAGATAGAATAAAAAAAAAATTATTTTTTTTTCTGAAATTCTCTATTTAAAAAAAAACTGACCTTAATGCATAGTGAAAAAAAAAGAAAAAAAAAGCGCTTTATAGTTATAAATTTATTAAACTTATAAAAAAAGTGTATTATATTATATAAAAATTATATTATATATATATATTATATAAAAAACGCAACTAAATATCAAAAAAATTTATCTAAAATAAATTACTGTTTTTTTTATTTTTTTTTCTATAAAGGCTGTTCTAAAGATACTTTGAAATAACAGTGGCAAATTCAAGTAAACTTTTGCTCTTTTTTAAATGAACAGATTGCATACGGTAAGTTTCAGAAATGACCAATTAAAAGTGACAATTATAAATACAGCAAGTAAACCTGTTGAAGAGCAAAATAAAAATTTTTAAAATTTTTAAAATTTAACTGAAAAATGGATTCCACAAAAGTTTCAAACAACAGCTGAAATCAGAAATATGACAGTTACTGTAAACTGTATAATGAACATCAAAATTGTACAAAAAAAAGTGTATCTTATTTAACCGCAAATATTTCTTTTTTCCCTAACATTTATCATCAAAACGAAATTGTTTTTGGATTTTAATCATTTAAAAAGATTCAGCATTATATCCGCAAATAATCCAAGTCAAAACAGACGAATAGCCTTTGTTAATCTGCATAATTACACTAAGCCGTTAAAAAAGTAATTGCAAATTTTGTGACTACCATTATCGTTCAGTAATCAAGTTCAAGCTACAATATCACTTGAACAATATTTAGTCTTCATTAAATAAATAAATAGAAGTATATATATATATATATATATATATATATATATAT